AAAAAAAGAGGGGTGCCTGGCTGGCTCATTCAGAAGAGTGCGCGACTCTTGATCTTGGGGTTGTGGGTTTGAGCCCCACTTTAGGTGTAAAGATTACTTTTAAAAAATAAACGTAAAAAAAACCGGGTAGGCTTTTGAGGTATGCCATGTTCTTTCATGGCTTTCCTTTACCACCAGGTCCTGTTTTGAGCTTTATTGTCCTGTCCTTTCTAGAACTAAGCCTGTCTGCTGGAAGCCTGCAGCTGGAACACAGGAGAGATGTGGAGCACAAAAGGAGGGAGTTCACCTCTTGTGGGAACAGGAAGCTCTACTTCGACACCCATGCCTTAGTGTGTTTACTCGAAGAAAATGGTAATCCTTTTGTGCCAAGCTCAATGCCACAGAAAAAAAACACTGTAAAATATGACTTCTCATGATCTTATCTAATTTCTCATATTACTCTTTGACTTGTAAGTCTACAGGTAATCTTTTGGTCACTCTGTGTTTTTTAAGTTCTTATTTTTTGCTTAAGGACATTTTCGCTTCATTGGTACAGTTGAGACTTTTCCCACCCATTTTCTCTCTGTCTGAGAGAAGTGTATTTTAAAAAAATTATTTTAATGTTTATTTATTTTTGAGAGAGAGAGAGAGAGACAGTGTGAGCAGGGGAGGGACAGAGAGAAAGGGAGACCCAGAATCCGAAGCAGGCTCCAAGCTCTAAGCTGTCAGCACAGAGCCTGATGTGGGGCTCGAACTCACAAACTGCGAGATCGTGACCTGAGCCGAAGTCGGACGCTTAACTGACCGAGCCACCCAGGCGCCCCAAGAAGTGTATTTTTTATGACATCATTCTAGAAGTACAGCGTTCTAGATAAAAATTTAGACACAAGTTAGCAAAAGTCAGGAATGGTTCCTGTGACAGCTGTCTGTAGCATAGAAGGGGTAGCTTTATTACTGTGCATGATGTGTGCTTTGAAGACTTCTATGAAATTAAAATTTTCCTGAGCAGCAATTGCTAATAATTCTAACTTGTGGCGTTTTTAAGTAGTCTAATATTTTCCCTTCTTGCTGTTCATTAACATGAAAGGTAGCTCTAACATATGTGACATTTACTGAAAGTGCCTTCGGTACATAAGTAACATTCTCTTTTATTTATGTTTTATTATTATTTTTTAAATGTTTATTTTTGAGAGAGAGAGAGAGAGAGAGAGAGAGAGAGTGTAAGTGGAGGAGGGTCAGAGAGAGAGTGGGGACAGAGGATCTGAAGCGGGCTCCAGGCCCTGTGCTGACAGCTGTGAGCCCGACGTGGGGTTCGAACTCACAAACCATGAGATCGTGACCTGGGCTGCAGTCTGACACTTAACTAACTGAGCCACACAGGCGCCCCACATTCTCTTTTTGTCTCATCTAGACGGACACACCAATTCTCATTCTCTGTACTGTGACCCTTTACTACACTGTGTGGCTGTTTCTCCGGGCTACCCTGTGCTTCACTTGCCCAGGACATGCGATGGTGTGAGTTCTGCTGTGCTTGGGCAGGGGAGTTAGAAGTTCTGGGTTCAAGCTCTGCCCGGGGCCCCGCTGCACAGCCAGGCAGCTCTGTCATTCTTCCCAGTTTCCATCTCTTCATCTCATCGGTAGCGTCAGCACAATAAGAATTCCGAAGATCCTTTTGAGAATTAAAGGAAATACTGTGTACTTGAACGCACTTTGGAGAAACGGTCAAGCACTGTATCATAATTTTCACCACTTTGCTTCTCAGAGTTGAAACATTAGGCCTTTCTTTCACCAAAGTGTCTTTCAGCTCAGAATTTGGAAAAGAGCATAAGTGAGAAGAGGGGCATAAGAATTGTCTTGATAAGCAGAAGTCTTCCTACTTTTTCCTTTTTTGGATGGACCTCGTGTTCTTGCATTGAAAGTAACCCAACGTAAAAAGACACGTTCAAGATAATGGGGAGGTTTCGCTCCACGCAGGTGCGTGGGGTTGGTGAGGAAGCGTCACAAATTTTGCTAAGTGGCAGGGTAGCTGCAGTGGCCTCGAGATGGCCTCAGAGCTACGTCCCGCTAACAGGTGCGGTTTATTTCCCCTCCCCCCACATACAAGTCGATTTGGTTAGTTTTGATACATAAAAATTGTTCATGTTTAAAGTGTCTTATTCCGATGGATGTACTTCCTGCTTTTCTTGTTTTCAAACCTTGACCCCTGAGTGTTTGCATCTCTCAAGACCGGTGTTGGGAGGAACCCACTGCAGTGTAGGGCGCGAGGCCTCTTAGAGGAGCGATATGGGTCCCCGATGCCGTAGGGTGAGGCCCAGAAGGACCCGTCCAGGAACACCCCACCCTCTGTCCTCTTCTCCGCGGCTGTGTCTCCTGCTTGAGAGAAGTTCCGTCCGTCTTGCAGCTTCCCTGACCCTGATCGTGTATTGGTCCGTCCTCCTCACAAAACATTGATTTGTACCTGGTAACCCGGCAGGTTTTTAGGCCTAACTTCTGCTTTTTCTTATCCCTTTCTCCTCCCACAGCTGGCTATAAATTATAAGGTTGTGCAGTTGATCATCAGCATAAGTTCTCCTCCGGTTTCTCTTTCTCTTTACTCATCGCTGCCAAACTAATTATATTTAACTGGGAACCTGTCATAAAGTTTCAAAACTTGTGAGACGCATTTTCATTTTCATTTTCAAAAAATGGGGAAGGCAGAAAAGAAACAACAAAAAAACTGTCTTGAATCCCAATACCCCAGAGCTAAACAGCATTAACATTTTGGTGGGTAACCTTTTAGATGATTTTTCTAAATGTGCATGACCCACGTGTTGAAAATTTAAGGATTTCGAGTCAAGTGAAGGGAGTAGGTCTTTGGAGGTCCTTTTTTGTTTCTTTCAAGTCTTTGCCTTTGGTTTTTAAAAATTTTACTCCCATGCTTCGTCTGATCCAAATTGTATCAGTTATAACTTTATTCAGAGTGCCTTTAATTACAATAATCAGTAGATTCTTCCGTAGTTCTTATGGCTGGAAGTGTTTAATAGAAAAAAAATTACTTTCCAGGGACTTGGTTTTAAGCATTTTTATTAGGATTTCCAATGTGAAATGTAAATTACCGTCTACAGTTACTGGAAACAGTAACACTGCTGAGTTGGATGTTTATATAATTTAATTCAGTATCATTTACTGAGTAGCACCTGGCCCCCTCTCCACAAGTAACCCAAGAGACTTGTAGAGGAAACATAAAAGAATGATTTTGTCTTTTTAACATCAAATAAATTAACAGCTGAATTACTAGTTATCTTTATATGGTCAGTGATTTGACGGATTTATGCAGGTTATAAAACAGTTGAACTTTCCTACTTAGGTAAATTATTCTTTACTAACATGTACATTTTAAAATTCAGGAAAACATGTCATTCTAGAAAATGTAGACCACACAGAGAAAAAGAAAAATTACCTAGGGTCTTTGTTAAATTACAAAAGCAGTAAACTGCATCTGTAATTTTGAGTTTGCTTTCCTTCCCTTGACCCCACACTTCAGGCTTCCTCTTTGTCATGAGACATTCTCTGGAAACATGATTTTTGACAGCTGGGTGGGATGTTAGAGGACACCAGCCCAACCCTTTATCTTACTTGGGGAAATAGACTCCGATGTGTCATGCTTGTCCAGAGTGACAGACACATCACAGCCCAGACTCTGGTCTCCTCACCTCCTGCCACACTGGGCTTTCTGAATTCACTTTCTCCCTTTCTTTGCATTGTCTCCCTTTCTGTGAAGGGTTTCTTTCTGGGTTTTGTTTTGTTTTGTTTTGTTTTCTGACAAACGGAGTCTCCAGAGTGTGACTGTCTGTGTGTGTTCGCTTAGGGTTTACCACCCAGCAAGCAGAAATCACTGTCTCTGCGTTGGTCAAGATCACCGATGCCAATATGGAGATCGTCTACAAGGATATGGTCACCAAGATGCAGCAGGTTAGTTGGGGCACTGTAGCAAATTTAAAGTCTGAAGCTGGGATGTTATTTGTGATATATATTTTTGGATAATATTCTATTGAAAAGCATATGGTACTTTTTTTTTTAATTTCTTTTTTTAATGTTTATTATTTTGAGAGAGGGAGACAGAGCACGAGCGGGGGAAGGGCAGAGAGAGGGAGACACGGAATCGGAAGCAGGCTCCAGGCTCCGAGGGGTCAGCACAGAGCCCGAAACGGGGCTCGAACTCACGAACCATGAGATCGTGACCCGAGCCGAAATCAGTCACCCAACCGACTGAGCCACCCAGGCACCTCTGAAAAGCATATGGTACTTTTAACCAGTAGTTGAGAGGCGAATGATTCCAGTGGCATAAAAGATATTTATTTGAAGCTCTTTTGTCCACTGTTGTAGAATCGTGCTGGAAAACTCACTATGCTTGAAAACAGACTGTTGCAGTCCACCAACCATATGCAACAAATGGCGATCTGGCCAGCACTGTGGCGGCGTGTTCGTGAGCCGCTGGCCCTCAGACTGCCACCCTTCTAACCGTGGCACGCTTGATGATGATACTGGACTTGGTCTTTACCGTTTTCCTTTCCTCATTAATAGAGCATGGCCTCGCTGCGCTGCTTTTCTCACGTCCGCGTTCTTCTGGTTTCTCGCAAAGATGATACCAGGTAGGAGGCGGACGTCCTAGGCCCGCCCAGGTTATTGATCTGTTTTGTTTCTCTCTTCCTAGGAGATCACTGTTCAGCAAATCATGTCTCAGATTGCTAATGTGAAAAAAGATATGGTTATTTTGGAGAAGAGTGAATTTTCAGCCCTCAGAGCAGAAAATGAGGTAACACTGAAGAGCCCTTCATCCTTACAAAATAGTATCGAGACGTTGAGACCCAACACGCAGAGACAAAGTGCACGATAGACGTGTCTTCACCAGGTGCCCGCTACCAGTCAGGTCGAGAAGTAGAATGTTACTGGGACCCCAGAAATCTGCTGACCCCCACCCTGCTAGGAAACCACTAGCCTGGCCTGTGGCACCGTTGGCCAGTTTTGCCTTTTCCAGAACCTCATCTGGGGAAAGCATCCATTGTGGCTTGCAGCAGCAGGTTTTGCTCTTGTCCACTGTCTGTAGGGTCATGTGAATGTGCCACATTATTTTCCTGTGACGTACAGGAGATTGACCCCTGAACAACGTGGGTTGGAACTGAAGAGGTCCACTTACACAGTTCAGTGAATGTGTATCCTGTTCCTTAGGATTTTCTTTATAACATTTCCTGTTCTGGGGCACCTGGGGGGCTCAGTCTGTTCAACTTCCGACTTCAGCTCAGGTCATGATCTCACGGCTTGTGAGTGTGAGCCCCATGTCGGGCTCTGTGCTGACGGCTCAGAGCCTGGAGCCTGCTTCCAATTCTGTGTCTCCCTCTCTCTCTGCCCCTCCCCCTGCTCACACTGTTTCTCCCTCTCTCTCTTTCTCTCTTTCTCTCTCTCTCAAAAATAAACATTAAAAGATTTTTAATAACATTACCTTTTCAGTGGCTTACTTTATTGTAAGAAGATAGTATATAATACATATAACGTGCAAAATATGTGTCATGTTATTGGTAAGGCTTCCAGTCAACAGTAGGCTATTAGTTAAGTTTTGGGGGAGTCAGAAGTTATATGCAGATTTTTAACTGTGTGCGGGTCAGCGCCCCTAACGCCTGCGTTGTTCAAGGGTCAAGTGCATATTAAAATTGTTTCCAAATTTGGGTTCTCTTGACCAAGTGGTGCTGTAAAGAATCCCGTGGTTTGTAAAGTGCGGCCCGTGCTGTGTTTGCATCCTTCCTTTTGTTTTCAGTCCTCGTTAGAGTTCCGTAGAGGAAGTCCATTTATTACCAGTTCATCCTAGTCTTGTAAGAAGCCTTCTAGCAAAAGATTCCTTCTTTTGCTAGAAAATGGTAAAGTTTGAAACTCTCACACTTGTCCTTGAAATCAGCTTGTTTGAAGGCAGAATTCGTTCAAAGTTGAAGGAGGTATTAAAGAAAGCAGGGCCTCTGGAGGCAAACATGTATGTTGAAAACAATTGCATTATTGATTTTATGTAACTTTCGAAATGAATTAAAACTGATCTCAAGACAGGCACACGCGTGGTCTTACCCTCCAGGCCTGACAGATTTCTGCTGCGGGGGCTGTGCGGGTCACATTTCATTCTGAATGCGGCGAGGTTTGTGTTCAATGAGAAAAGAATCAGGAAAACTCATGCACATACATGTCCTGATGTGTGTATTACCAAGTTTTGTGTATTTTTTTTCTAACCTTCTAAGCGTACCCTTGACTTTTTTTTTTTTAATGTGTTTTTAGAAAATCAACCTCGAACTACATCGGTTAAAACAACAAGTAATGGTAAGATCCTCGCTCCTGCTTTCTTGTTTGCACTTACATAAATGTAGTAATAAATATAATGTCAGAAGCCCTTTAATTCTATGTTAATTATTTGTGTAATATGTCTCAGAAGTACACATTGGAAGATTTAGCTAAGAACATAGTCACGGAATAAGTTAGCCATGTCTGTAACCAAATTCGTTAAGAAAATTGTGTTCTAGGATGAATCGGATGAGTTAGGTCATTTTTAGGTTAAAAAATTCTTAGGTAGCCATTTGGAACCTCTAGATCCTCTTAGAAGAGACTGGCCTTGGAGAATTACCTGTGGTTTTAAATGCTTACTGTGCCAGCTGTATGATCTTTTTCTTTTTTAAGTGGAAAGGACATGGATGTTAAGGAAGAAAAGGTTCTGGTGAGTGTCAGAAAGAAGGCTTTATTTAAACCAGAATTTAGTATTTTCCTTCTTTGAGCCCAACTCTGCTTTCCAGAGTGGTCCGGGGAATGACTTTTGCCACGAATTCTGTAAAGAGATTACACTGGGAATCTTGAGGTTAAAGGCGACAGTAACCCCCCCTGGACTGACTTGAGCATAAAAGGGGATTGTTTGTGTATACGACTGGGGACTCCCAAGACAGGGCTGAGTGCAGCCATGGCTTGGCCAGGGACGGTCCTCCTGTCTCCGTATCTCTGAGAGCCCCTGGCCCCGCCCCGTGCCTCAGCCTGTTGGCTCAGGAGAGAACCAGCAGGGTCACCATTCTAGGCTTCGCACCCCAAGGTTCCCCTTTCTCACTGTGGACTTCTTTCTTTCTTTCTTTGCCCTCCTCCTAGGATGAAGTGGTCAAGGTCCGGACAGATACCAAACTAGAGTTCAATCTAGAAAAGAGCAGAGTGAAGGAACTGGTATGTCCTTTCTTTAAAAACCGAGTGCGAATTCATTTCTCCGCAGGATGCGTACTTGGTCAGGTCTGAGTTTATTTACAGCTCAGCAGTGCTGTCACACACTTACCCAGGTATTGTTGGTAGGCAGCTTTCGCTTTAATTCTGTTTTTGGCTTACAGCTTAAATTTGATGCTTTCCAAAATGGCATTAAAATGCAAATTTTGGAGGGATGCCTGGCTAGCTCAGTCCGTAGAGCCTGTGACTCTTGATCTCAGGGACACGAGTCCAGGCCCCACATTGTGTGTAGAGATTACTCAAAATCTTTAAAAAATCTTAAAAAAAAATTTTTTTTTAATTAAAATCTTGGTCAAATCAAGTTTGAATCTTATTTCAGAGAGACTAAATTATGTGTTACTTAGATGTTACCAAAGAAACCAAACTCAATCTCGCTCTATTTAATCTGACTTAAACCTCCACGGGTCCTGATTTCTCAAAAGTTAAGTTGATGATCTGTCTTGAATATTAAATTATTAATATCAAATTGTACACTGAAATTCAGGATTAAAAAAATATTCCCATGTAAGCTTTTTTTTTTAAGTTTATTTATTTTTGAGAGAGACAGAGAGATGCAGAATCCAAAGCATAGTCTTTTTTTTTTTTAATAAAGACACCTTAATGACTTTATTGCATTGTTTTGAAATGCAAATTCTAACTGATTCTTTAAGTTATGTTAAATTGAAACTTTTAATTAGGAAAAGTAGTTGTATACATTTGTTACAAAAAAGATACTAGAGTAAGTAAGCCGACTAGTACTCATACAGCAATTTGTGGGATCACATACGGGGACCCAAGAAAACTGGAAATACAGTTCTGCTGCCCTTGCTTTTTTCTTTTTTAAATTTTTTTTTTTTCAACGTTTATTTATTTTTGGGACAGAGAGAGACAGAGCATGAACGGGGGAGGGGCAGAGAGAGAGGGAGACACAGAATCGGAAACAGGCTCCAGGCTCTGAGCCATCAGCCCAGAGCCCGACGCGGGGCTCGAACTCACGGAGTGCGAGATCGTGACCTGGCTGAAGTCGGACGCTTAACCGACTGCGCCACCCAGGCGCCCCAGCCCTTGCTTTTTCCAAACACGATGCAGATAAGTACTTTTTCCCCCCTCAGAACTTTCACAGTAATACTTTTTGAAAAGTTTATTATATTATAATCAACATATACAGCATTATATTCATTTCAGGCATACAAGATAATGATTTCATATTTGTATACATTGCAAAACCATCACCACTGTGAATCTAGTCACCATCTCTCACCATACATTGTTACAAAATTTTTTTCTTGCCATGAGAACTTCTACGATCTGTTCTCTTAGCGACTTTGAAATATACACTATAGTACAATTACCTGTAGTCACCATGCCTTAAGTTACATCCCAGGACTTACAGTGTTTACGACTGTAAGTCTGTACCTTTTGACCCATTTCACCCACCCTGCAGCTCCTACCTGTGGCAGCCACTAATCTGGTCTGTGTATCTGTTAGCTCAGGTTTTGAGGGGTTTCTTTTTGGTTTGGGGGCAGTTTTTTAGATTCCACATGTAAGAGAGATCATACAGTATTTGTCTTTCTCTTATTTAATCACCCGAGGTCCATCCGTGTTGTTCCCAATGGCGGGATTTCCTTCTTTTTATGGCTGAGTAATATTTCATACACACCCATATATACATATACACACACACCACGTTTTCTTTTTTTCTTTTTTCTTTTTTTTTGACGTTTATTTTTGAGAGAGAGAGATTGCACAAGTGGGGGAGAAGCAGAGAGAAAAAGAGGAAGACAGAATCTGAAGCAGGCTCCAGGCTCCAAGCTGTCAACACAGAGCCTGACGTGGGGCTTGAACCCGCGAACTGTGAGATTATGACCTGAGCCAAAGTCAGATGTTCAACCAACTGAGCCACCCAGGCGCCCCATACACACCACATTTTCTTCATTCACCCATCAGCAGACACTTACCTCTTCCACGTCTCAGTGATTGTACATAATGCTTCAGTGAATATGTTCTAATAAAGATACATGTTGAGTTGCCTCTGGCGATTTTTAAACCATCCATCTTCTTCAGGCTTTATTTCAATTTGATAGCAGTAGTTAGATAGTGTCTTTATTCTTAGGATAATGAGAAATAGGGGGTGCAAAGCATTTTTCACAAACGGAACCGGATACACCTGTAGAAACTGAGTATGCATTGGGGCGCCTGGGTGGCGCAGTCGGTTAAGCGTCCGACTTCAGCCAGGTCACGATCTCGCGGTT